ACACACACACACACACACACACACACACACACACACACACACACACAAATAAATAAATAAATAAATAAATGTGGGGGGGGGCTGAAGGGTTTGCTTGGTGGTTAAGAGCTTTGGCTGGCCTTCCAGAGGACCTGGGTTCAATTCTCAGCACGCACATGATGGCACACAATTGTCCAGAACTCCAGTTCCAGGGAATCTGATGCCCTCTTCTGGCCTCTCTGGGCACCAGGCACACATGTGGTACACAGGTATACATGTAGGCAAAATGCCCATACACATCAAAAAAAAAAAAAATTTTTTTTTTAAGTTTTTAAATAAAAATACAGCCAGGCACAATGGTGCATGCCTTTAATTGAAGCATTTCCAGGGGCAGAAGCAGGAGGATCTCTGTGAATTCAAGGCCAGCTTGGTCTTCATAGTGTGTTCTAGAAGAGCCAGGCCTGAGTAGAGAGAGCCTATCTCCAAAAGAACAAAAATAAGTAAAGTGGGAGATTAGGAGAAGGGGCTGGAAAGAACCATCCTCCCCAGGGGGATGCTGGCAGTTAATGGTTGCTGAAGGAGGGGAGCCATTTTCTTGAGTGGTATAGCCTCAGGCTTGATTTCCGTGTTCCGGCAGATAACCCCACACCATACCCGTGCAAAGCACCAGAAATTAGACTCAGTGTCATCAAAGTCAGAGATAGACTTGTTGGGAGAAATGGGTTTAACAGGAGCCGCGGGGGCATGAGAAGTAATGGGGTGTGCTCCCTAGGATTTACGGCCATCCTAGCTGAGCCAGGGAGGTCAGCAAGCCACTGCCTCAAGTAAGGATCTACATTTGACTCCCAGCTTCCACAAGGAGGCTTAGAACCACCTGTAACTCCTGCTTCAAGGACTCTGGCACCCCCTTCTGGCCTGCATTGCATACACATGGTACGCAAACACACGAAAGCAAAACGCCCGTCACATAAACTGAAAATAAATAAATCTAAAACTAAAAAGACAAGGTCAGTCAGGTGTAATGGCGCACAATCTGAATCCGGCCCTGGGAGGCAGAAGCAGACAGATCTCTGTGAGTTCAAGGCAGCGTTGGCCACACAGGGAGCTGCAGGCTCTCTAGAATAAGTCAAGTCTAGTGGGTAGGAATCTGATCTCCGCCTTGGTCCTACCTGTCCTGGAGATCTCTTGTTCCCTCCCCGACAAGACTAACCTCTTTGCTCTCTCCCCAGGAGCCCAAGATGTGCGGGTACGAGTACTCCCCGAGGTCCGGGGCCGCCTGGGAGGCACGGTGGAGCTACCGTGCCGCCTCCTCCCACCCACGTCAGAGCGCGTCTCTCAGGTGACCTGGCAGCGCCTGGATGGCACGGTCGTGGCCGCCTTCCACCCATCCTTCGGCGTGGATTTCCCCAACTCTCAGTTTAACAAGGAGCGTCTGTCCTTCGTGCAAGCCAGGCAGGACACAAACGCGGACCTGCGGGATGCCACACTGGCCTTCCGGGGACTGAGGGTGGAGGACGAGGGCAATTACACCTGCGAGTTTGCCACCTTTCCCAACGGCACCCGCAGGGGGTTGACCTGGCTCAGGGTCACAGGTGAGTGGGGGGGACTGTGAGGACCCCTCCCCTGGCTATTTCTCTGTCTCTGCTTTCAGGTTGAGCGTCCTTGATGTGTTGGCAAATATGTTTTGTTTTTGTAGAAGTTTGTGTACGTTTTTGTTTTATGGAGCTGGAGAGTCATATAAATGAGGAGAGAGAGAGTTCATCCCCTGCAGTGTTTGGAGACCAGAGGACAACTTCTGGGGGTCAGCTCTCTCCTTAGACCCCGGGAGTCCTGCGGAGCAAACTCAGGTTGCCAAGCGTTAGGCTTCGAAGCAGCTGCCTTTACCTCTGAGCCGCTTTGCCAGTCCTGCCTCAGCTGTGTGTGGCTGGGGATGAGCTGGAAATGTTGATCCTTTCGACCGGTCCTCTCCCTCAGAGTGCTGGGACTAAGGACATGAGCCATTGCAGTTTATTTGGTCCTGGGCACAGAGTCAGCAGTGTGTGATAGACGGCACCTACCTCTATACCTGCCACCTACCAACAAGCAGCCTACCAAAGGACCAACGTCCTCAGCTCCAGTTTTCTTCATTTTCCTTCCTTATGTTTAGATAGGCTCTCCTGTAGCCCAGGCTGGCCCTGAACTCTAAATCCTCCTGCCTCCATCTCCCAAGCGCTACGATTACAGGAATGTGCCAGTGCGCCTAGTTTTGGTGAATGCTTACTAAGCACCTACTGAGAGCTAGAGCTAGTTGCTGACTCTGTCCACCAAGGGTATGGTGGGCAACAAGCCATTCTTTTTATTTTTTCCTCAAGTTAGGGTCTCAACATGTAGCCCAGGCTGGCCTCAAATTCAAAACAACCCAGTTGCCTCAGACCTGGGACTATAGGTGTATGAGCCATTACACTCTATTCTGATTTTGCCCTGAGAACAAGAGCCATGGATGCTGTGAGCAAGCACAGAGCTGTGACTTGGTGGGGAGTCCTGCTGGGTGTCACAGAGAGCCCCAGCCGGCTTGTTGGAGAAACAGGAAGTGCTCAAGGAAACAGAGAATCAGCCGTAGGTCTAGGGTTGCCTGGCCATGATATGGGGGGGAGACAGTTTTAGGCAGCTTTGTGCTGTTGTCCCTGGGTTGGAGGAAAAGGAGAACCAGAAAGGATACCCACAGGACTGAAGAGTTCTGGAGCCAGGTGGAGGCAGAGGCAGGTGGATCCCTGTGAGTTCAAGGCCACCCTGGTCTACAAAGTGAGTCCAGGGCAGCCCAGGCTACACAGAGAAACCCTGTCTCATAGGACCTGGCACGTACATGGCAGCTCACAACCATCTATAAATCTACTTCCTGGGTATCCATCACCCTCCTCCCTCCTCTGCGGACACTGAAGACTTGTACTCCACAGACACATGAAGGCACGACATCCATACACAGAAAATAACAAGTGAAGGACTGGCGGCTGCAGGCTTCAGCTGGAGTGGACCGACACAGCCAGTTGGCATGGTGACAGAGATTTCGCACGAAAGCCGGAAAGTCCCCTGCAAGGCACACCCTCTAGCTCTCTGGACACCATCACCCCAGGATCTCTCCCTCTCTGACTCTAGAGAGTTAGGAAGGTGTCTCAGTTTGGGCTCTATTGCTGTGAAGACACACCATGACCACGGCAGCTCTTGTAAAGGAAAGCATTTCACTGGGACTGGCTTACAGTTTCAGAGGTTTCAGTCCATTATCGACATGGCAGGAAGCAAAGCAGTGTGCAGGCAGACATGTGGAGGAGGAGCCAGCAGGCAGCAATACGGGACTGGACTTCCACACTGGGGGAAGCTTGAGTGTGTGTGTGTGTGTGTGTGTGTGTGTGTGTGTGTGTGTGTGTGGTGTGTGGAGGACCTCAAAGCCTGTCTTTGCAGTGACACGCTTCCTCCAACAAGGCTACAACCTTATAGAGCCACTTTCCATGGGCCAAGCATTCAAACACATGACTCTGTTGTGGGCTGTATCCACTCAAACCTCCACAAAAGCCTCCTTGTACATTGAGGAACAGGGACACCATAGCTCAAGAGCATAGCTATTGCCATATTGCCAGTTCTTGGGGAGCAGGTCTTTCATCTCAGCAACTGAGGCTGAGGCAAGCTACAGAGTGAGTTGAAAGCCAACCTGGACAACTTAAGACCCTGTCTCAAAGTCAATTTTTAAATATGGCTGGCTAGGGATGAAGCTCTTTCAGGTGTTTGGCTAGAATTCCCCAGTGAGGGGCTGGGGTGTGACTCAGTGGTAGAGCCCCTGCCTAGAATCCTTCAGTGAGGGGCTGGGGTGTGGCCCAGTGGTAGAGTCCCTGCCTAGAATTCCCCAGTGAGGGACTGGGGTGTGGCTCAGTGGTAGAGCCCCTGCCTAGGATCCCCCAGTG